GGCTAACCAGCAACAGCGTTCTAAGAGTGTGGAGCCCTATTGTGACAGCCCTCCTCAGAGTAGACACTCCTGTGTGTGATCATGGCTTGGGGTGGATTTTGAGATCTATCTCCACAGGTACTAAGAAGATGCCAGCATTAGTGCACTTATCTCTGGGAATTTCCTCATTTCAGCACTGATATCCATGTCCCGTTTGGCACCTGACCATGGCTGCTGTTACACTGGTACCAGGGGACAGGAGGGCTGGCCAGACCCTCTGAGCAGGCTGCTCAGGCCATGTGTTATGTGTGTTTCATGCAGGGGAAGCAGAAGTACACCCTCCCGCTGTACCACATGATGGTGAGTGGCAGCGAGGTGGCCCGGGCCCTCGCCAAGGAGACCTTTGCCGCCACCATCTCCCAGCTCCACAGCAACGTGGTCAACTACATCCAGCAGATCCTGGAGCCCAAGGGCAATTAGAGGCTCCATGCTTGGCCTTTTCCAAGGCATTCTGCAGGCTTTCAGAGTAATTGATTGTTCCCAACTGCCAGTTCTCCAATCAACTTCCTGAAGTTTTTATTCTCTCAGGATGATCTGTTCTCTGGGTTTAGGCATCTGTGACTCTGGGTGGGAATTTCTCTGCATCAATGAGGCCTGAGACCAGAGAAATGCCCACAGCCCTCCTCAGTACACCAGCGGGCTGCTGGCTGGGTTGGGGCAGCCTATCTTCTCCCACCCCTCTGCTCTCGTCTTCAGAGAGGATTTTATCATTTCTTTTTTTTTTGCTGATTCTTCAGGTACTATGCAAAGGGACTGCATTCTGGTATTTTTTAGGTTTGCTCTTTATTTTAATAAATGCTTTTAAAGTGGAAAGTATTTAAGTTGGAGTTTATGGATGGAGTGACTGTTGAATTTCTTCTACCAGGTGTCCCCTCTGTGTCCGGGTGTTCTGAGAAAGTCAATGGAGGAGCCCCAGGATGACAGTGTCCCTGCTGTCAGGGAACTCCCAGGCTAAATAAGTGAGGGTTCCATACATGAATATGAAAACCTGGAAATATGGCGTGATCTGTTGCAGGACCAATGCACAAACAAATAGCTCTCCAGTTTTCTGTTAAGGCTGCCCACTTCTCTGTCTGCAGTGTCATTCCTGTCCATCGTTTCCATTGCTTTTTTTTATATTAAAACAATGGGTTTTAGTGTCATTTGCCCAGCTTTGGGCTCCACTGCCCTGTCCGCCTTGTGTTCTTAGATCATTGCTTTAAGGGGATAGTAAATAAAGTCTATTTAGAACCTGACTTCAACATGGTGATCTAAGCAGTTAGCAACTTGGCAGAAATACGAAAATAGAGTAAATTGCCTTTCTGTAAATACCACGGCACCCCTGAACTAGTCTCCATTCCTTGGCTTTGAGGTTGTCAGTCCTTGGCCCTTTCCTGCACAGGAGTTGGGAAAGAGAACACATCACAGCCACTTAAATAGGTTTTGTTCTCTTACCAAAAGCAAGGAAGTAGTGATGACTTGCTGACCGGCTGCTGAGTGCCTCTGCCCATGGGACCCTCATGGCTTCAACAAAGGGTATTTTGGGGGATCTTAAGAGAGAGGGGTTTTGGAGATATTCTTGGCCATGGCAGTTTGCTAACAGTCAGGGCTTTTCCTGGCTGTAGGGGAGGGCTATCAGGTGGGGCCTCTAAGACCAGTGTCTGTGTTTCCTTGTTCTGTACAAATACCTACAGCACCACTGAGCCCACTAATAAGTCATTGCGGAAGCAATGTGTCTTCTGAAACCAGTTCTTTGACTCCATAAATATGTTGTGAGACCTCACAGTTTACAGCATAGGTGTTCTGAGATGAGTTGCCTGCCCCGCCCACCACCATTCATTTCTACCAGCAGCCCTGCTTGAGGTTCTTGTCTCTTAGAGGACTGGGGGCAATGTGCTTGGCACCTCTCCACCATCCCCAGGACATCCCCAGTCGCTGTCTGGACAGCTCTGTGGGGAAGGTCAGTGGGCTGTTGTTGATAATGGCAGACTACTGGGAAGGCCCCTTACCTCCTCCACGGTTCTGATGGTCACTGTTCTGGAATCTTCAAGACACCACTCACCTTGAGCCCTCCCAAGATATAGAGCTTCAATCCAAGTCTTTCCCATTTAATCTTCCATAACCTTCACTTGGCTATTTAAGGCTTTCATACTTGAAGGTAAGGATTCACAAACCTTAGCTCTCATTTCTGGGGCTAAGCCCCCTGAAGGCAAGGGAGCAGATCTCCTAAATCACTCCCCTCACCTCACCCTGTCCTCAGGGCATGGAGCACGTGAGCAGTCCTGGGGCTAGAAGCTGGTTCTCCCACATTCCAGGGTGACTGGGCAGAGGGTGTGCCTACTCAGGCGGCTAGGGGTAGGCCCCCTGCAGGGCTGGGGAAAATCCTACCATCAGCCCCCCCAGGCTCTCCTGCCACTCCTGACTCAGGTGGGACCCAGGGCACTAACTGGCTTCTCATCATCCATATGGGATGGCCTTTCATAGCCCTCAAGCTATAGAATTAAAGGGTATCCATGGAGCTTTTCTTTCAGGAACCTTTCCACCCACCGAGGCTGAGTGCCATGGGCCACCCAGTGCTGTGGGCATTCATGAAGGAGTGGAAAGAAGAGAGATACAAAGATCCTTTGTCATCGTCATTATTTTAAGTTCCCTGTGTTGTTTCTGACTCTCAGTGAACCTGTGTATGGTTTCTAAGGAGAAGTTAGTGGATTTGAACTGCCAACCTTGTGGTTTAAACTGAATTTACGGTCCAGTGCTTATTCTACAGCGCCACATCAGGACTCCGTTCTGGTGTAAAAAAAACCAACCTAGATCTTGAAGATGGTAGGGATCAAGTCCAAACAACTTCACTTTACAGATGGGGAAACTGAAGTGCAGAATATTATCCACATAGGTATGGGAGCACTACAAGTCTGCCTGCCTTCTCACTACTTTATATTACCCCCATCTGAGGAATCTTAAGGGGAGTCTATAGAACCTTGTCATGGGCCAATCCATAATGAGGACCAAACCTGGGGGACTCGCTCTGCCACAGGGAAGGCAAGAGCTCTTCCACAGAACTGAAGATGGATATATATGGTGTAGAGAAAGGGCACCCATCATGGTAAGTACATCGAGTCAGTCATAGCGACCCTGTATAGGGTTTCCAAAGCTGTAAATCTTTGTGGAAGCAGAAAACCTCATCTTTTTCCCACGGAACGACTACTGGGCTTGAACTACAGAGCCACAACACTCTCCATACCTGGATTTAAATCTCAGCCATACCACTTTAATCATTCAGCTCTTCTGAGCTATTTAAATCATTCAGCCCTTCTGAGCTATTTTCTCACATATAAAATGGGGATTGTGCATTCCTTACAGGGTTTAAAAAATGTTATTTTGAGGGATTAAATGGTAGAGTACTACTGTGAGAATGCCTGGTAAATAAACTATTACTATGTGTTCCTTTTAATTTGAGTTAGGAGAACCTGGTAGTCTTCTGACCACTAGGGGGTGGCAAACGTCCTGGTAAACTGGGACGAATGACTGGTTTGGTTAGATGGGGGACCAAATAGAAAGGGGTCAACAGATCCACGTGGATTCCAACACCAGCAGCCAGTAGCCTAGGAATAGTGTTTAAGCAGAGCCAGGCCTCTCCTGAAGTGGTTGAGGCGACCACTGTTGGGTGGATGGGGGTCAGGCAGGCAAGAATATGCCAAGATCTTGCCAACAAAATTGATGCCAGTGAGTGAGCCTCATGGCACCCACCCGCTAGCCCCTGAGAATTGCCTGGTGTTAGAACTCCCAGCCTGTGTCCAGAATTCAGGGTGTCCCTAACCCTCAGTAACCTTTCCTTCTCAGGACCCTTTGTCCTTAGATCTCTAGAATTTAGGAGCTAGCAGAGAGCTCCTGGGTGGCACAAATGCTTAAGTGCGTAACTATGATCCAAAAGGTGGGTGGTTCAAACCCACCCAGAGGTGCCTCAGAAAACAGGCATGGCAATCTGCTTCCCAAAGGTCACAGCCTTGAAAGCCTTACTGGGCAGTTCTCTGTATATGGGATCGAAACTAACAATAGCCAAATCCCTCCACCTCCCCTTCCCCTGGACTGACTCCTGGGAGGAATTAACTGAGGCAGGGTGGCAGAAAGCACACATGCCCACCCAGACGACTCTCCTGCCGCCCGCCCAGGCTAGTGCCCTATGCCCAACCTCAGAGGGTGTGGGATTACAGACTCTGACAATCATTAAACCAGCCGGGCCTGATTTCCCAGCACCTCCTGCTAGGATCAGGGCCAAGTAGCACATAATATGCAAATCACCTGGGGCCAAGAGCCCAGTCTAAAGGCCAGGAAATCCCCTCTGTCCAATGAGCCACTGGCTCAGGTTACCGCCGGGAAGCAGACTATAAAGGCCCCGGCAGGGGAGGAGCTCACATTCTATTTAGGAGGGTGGGGGTGAGTGGGACCAGCCTCCTCAGCGCTACCTGGTGAGCTTTTTGCCGCCTGGATTATTCCTTTGCCTGCTGTCCCTTTAGTTTGAGTGCCTGCCGTTGTACCATACTTCGCGCTACTCTGGTAGGACCCCCATCTGTCATACTACTTTGTCTGAGTCCTGGGAAATTAGGCAGGGGTCGAGTGGATTTGTAGTTCTGAACCTGTCCACCCAGTTCCTAAATCTAGAATCTCAGAACTGCAGTGTTGGGCGGTGGGGGATCCTGAGGGTTGAAGAATGGAGGGATGTTTTCTGGAAGGGTACAGGGTGACCATGACTGTGTGGGTCCCAAGCAAAGGCCCAGGTGGGCTGAGGAGGGAGCACCAGCAGGGGGGTCTTGTGCCCTCACATCACACTTAGACTTTAGAACCCTTCTTTTAGAGAGAGAAAGAGAGACCTGAGACATGTCCACCTTCCTATCCTTAGGGGTTACTAAGGCAGCAGCTCTTCCTTCTCTGGGTCAAGGATCCTGGCCCCTCACAGACCTCATCTCCTCTCTCCAGGTAGCCCCATGGCTGCAACCTGTGAGATTAGCAACATTTTTAGCAACTACTTCAGTGCCATGTACAGCTCAGAGGACCCCACTCTGACGTCTGCTCCCCCCGCGGCCACCTTTGGGGCTGATGACCTGGTGCTGACCCTGAGCAACTCACAGATGCCTCTGGAGGGCACAGGTGGGTCTCAAGCAAAGTGAAGGGGTGACAGATCCACCTGAGAGCATGTTTGATGAATGGGGACTTGGGCTGGGAGGAGACTCTCCTGAACTGATTCTTGGGCTAGGGGAAGGGGTGATGTAAGTGTCTGAGGTCGGGCTTGTGAGGATGGTCACTGCTGCGACTGCCCCTGCCCCTGTGAGGGTTCTCTGAGGAGTCAGATAGGAATTGGCACCAGCAAAGTGGCTTGGAGGGCTGCCGGATAGCCTGGGCTGACCCCATTGTTTTGCCTGGTTCCGTGTAGAGAAAGCCAGCTGGTTGGGGGAACAGCCCCAGTTCTGGTCCAAGGCCCAGGTTCTGGATTGGATCAGCTTCCAAGTGGAGAAGAACAAGTACGACGCAAGTTCCATTGACTTCTCCCGGTGCGACATGGATGGGGCCACACTCTGCAATTGTGCCCTTGAGGAGATGCGTCTGGTGTTCGGGCCTCTGGGCGATCAGCTTCATGCCCAGCTTCGGGACCTCAGTGAGTCTAAGCTCCTGATGCCAAAGGGGCAGTGGTCCTCCTTCTCAGGGCTGCTGGGTAGAGTTTGGCACTTCAGTGGGAAGGGCCTGAGGGTACAGTCAGAGAGAAGCCCCACGGAGGGAAGTGTGCGGTGGCCTGGGCTCTGACTTCTTCCTTTCCTGCCAGCTGCCAACTCTAACGATGAGCTCAGCTGGATCATTGAACTCCTAGAGAAGGATGGCATGGCCTTCCAGGAAGCCCTAGGAGACCTGGGCCCTTTTGGTGAGAACTCAAATACTTCTCTTCCCCAGCCCATTCTGTCCCATCCCTGCCCTTCTCAGAGCACCTGAGATGACCCCTAGACACCTGAGCTTCCTCCTCCCGCAACTACAAAAATTAACACAAAAACAATCCACCAGACCTCTGTGTGCACTCTTCCCTGCCCTGCCTCAATTCTCACCTGCCCTGCCTCAATTCTCACCTTTTCCTCCCAGACCAGGCAAGCCCTTTAGTCCAGGGGCTGGTGGAGGAATGCTCATACTACCCCAGCAGCTACAGTGTGGGGGTCCCCTCCCCTGGCAGCTCGGATGTTTCCACTGCAGGTAAGAGCCTCATTAGGACCTCCTTTCGGGACCCAGCATTGGAACCCAAGCTTTTCTGGGAGGGAGCTCAGCCTCACCCTGGCCTGCCTCCCGTAGGCACTGGCACGCCTCAGAGCTCCCACTCCTCAGACTCTGGTGGAAGTGACGTGGACCTGGATCCCACAGACGGCAGCAAGCTCTTCCCCAGTGGTGAGTCCAGGGAGGCTCCTGGGACTCAAGAGGTGCTCTCCCACACTCACCCCGTCCTCTCCCGACTGACTAACCCTGCTTCCCACAGGTGGCTTTCCAGGCTATAAGAGAGGGGACCCCAAGCACGGGAAGCGGAAACGGGGCCGGCCACGAAAGCTGAGCAAAGAGTCCCGGGAATGTTTGGAGGGCAAGAAGAGCAAGCATGGTGAGTTTCTGGTCGCCCCCTTTGCACAGAGGTGATTGGGGGAGGGAGAGGCTTACAGTGAAGCCGCTGGTATCTTCCTCCTCCTGGTCTCACAACTGACGCCTGCCTTCAGTGCACAGCCTGGCTGGGGCTCCTACACAGCCCATTCCAGTTCTCTCTATACTTGGCCCTTGTCCTGGCTGCTGGGATCCCTTAGTGGTGGAGGAGGAAGCTGGTGTGTACTTAGGAAGGCTGGAAGAGTCCATTGTTAGGTGCAGTCAAGTTGATTCCAACTCATAGCGACCTTCTGCACAACAAAACGACTCGGCCCGGTCCTGAGCCATCCTCAAAATTAATGTTAAGCTTGAGCCCATTGCTGCTGCTGCTGCCACTGTGCCAATCCATCTCATGTAGTCTTCCTCTTTTTCACTGACCCTCCACTTTACCAAGCATAATGTCTTTCTCCGGGGACTGGTCCCTCCTGATAGCATGCATGTCTGAAGTATGCGAGAAGAAGTCTCACACCATCCTGGCTTCCGAAGAAGAGCCCACAGTGGGCTGAAACTCCTAGCAAAGAGGGCACTTCCGTTGCTGAGCTCCCAGTCTGTTGAGGTTACCAAGTTTTTGTGTCCCTGTTAGCCTGAGTTCAGAGGGTTCAGGCCTCGTGTGGATCAGCCACAGCGCACTGCTGAGCGGTTGCCACAAAGCAACTGTGGTCTCTTTTGTCTCTCTGCTTTTGCTCCTCACACACACTTGGCCTGACTCTTTTCTCCCTGTCCTCAGCGGGATATTTTTTTCCCTCATGCTGGTGCTCATTCTTGCTTCCCTATATTTGCCATACCTCTTACCACCATGGTGTGTGCTTGTTTTTTAACTATGGCCCCCACTGGACTAGGAGTTCCTCTGGGCACTGCTGTGTCTCAGTCACTGCCCATTCCAGTCAGCCATTTAATAGATAGTTGAGTGAATCAAAGGTATCTTGCTGCAGTCCTCTGGGAGCACCTATCTAGGTAGGGAGGCAAGGAGGGGAGCAACTGGTACCAAGTGAGGTCTGCCTCATGTGTCTGGCTGTTAATAAGCAGCGTGCAGGGGTGGGCAGGGCCAGCTGGGTTGTGATGAGAAGTTACACGGAGCTCACACACCTGGCCCACTGACTGAGAGTATCTGGCCTTTCAGCCCCCAGAGGCACCCACCTGTGGGAGTTTATTCGGGACATTCTCATCCACCCGGAACTCAACGAAGGCCTCATGAAGTGGGAGAACCGGCATGAGGGCGTCTTCAAGTTCCTGCGCTCCGAAGCTGTGGCGCAGCTCTGGGGCCAAAAGAAAAAGAATAGCAGTATGACCTACGAGAAGCTGAGTCGTGCTATGAGGTGAGCTGGTGGCTGGGACCCCCATGCCCTGAATGGACATCTGGGGGTAGAGGGCAAGGCTGAGATGAGCAGAATCAGCACAGAGAATGGTGTCTGAGTACCGAGGGCCCTCTCCCAACCCTGTTCCAGCCAGTACGCTTGAATAATAGCAGTACCTACCTACGCAAAGTCGGCAGTTCAAACCCACCAGCTGCTCCTTGGAAACCCTATATAGAGTCGCTATGAGTCAGAACTGACTCAATAGCACTTAACAACAACAACTACTTCATGGAGTCCCTGGGGGGGGGGGGTACAACTGATTAATGTGCTAGGCTGCTACCCCAAAAGTCCACCCTTAGGAACTTGGGAAGAAAGGCCTAGAGATCTACTTCTGAACAATCAGCCACTGAAAACCCTATGAGCACAGATCTACTCTGACACACATGGGGTTGTCAGGAGTTGGGATCAACTCCACAACAACTGGTGAGGCCTGCTTCATATGATTTAAACGATCACATGGAGAAAGTACTTAGTCTGGTACCTAGAAAGCCCTTAGTAAACTTTAACTGACAGTAACATTATACTTTGTCTGCAAGGCTTGGCCTAAGAAAGGTGCTTAGTTGGAAAGAGCATTAGCCACGCCCTCATTCAAGTCGCTGGGCCTCAGTTTCCTCCTTTGTACAAGGGTGGGCTGGCTCATCTCTAAGGCCCCTTCCAGAGTTGAAATATGAGGTGTTATAATATGCTCCAGGACACAGCCATAAATTAGAGAAGCAAATGCCGAGCCAGGTAAACTGTACACAATTATAGGCTGGAGAGTGAACAGGAAGAAAGACAGCTGGCGGGAGAAGCTTCAGGAAGGCTGCACCTTAGTGGGTCAGCTGGAAACCAGCGGGATAGGTCACCCGAGGACAGCTCCGGGACAGATGGGCGGTGTCAGTACTCCAGGTTGTGTTCCCTGCCTGAGACCTCTGATCCCACTTCTCACCCCAGGTACTACTATAAACGGGAGATCCTGGAACGGGTGGATGGCCGGCGGCTTGTCTACAAGTTTGGCAAAAACTCCAGTGGCTGGAAGGAGGAAGAGGTTGCCAGCAGTCGGAACTGAGGGTCTGAATGAGACCTGGGACCAAACTCATGGACTCAAGGCCTGCGGCCCTCCTAGAGGAGGCCCACTGGGAGTGGTGGCCGACCCCCGTTTGGGCACATTCCCCTATGCACCTCTGTGGAGAGAAGCTGAAGTCTTGGTTTATTGTCCACTGCTGTCCTGGGATTTGGGGCCTGTGGCCTCTCTTCTCTGCCCTCCTCTTGGAATTATAAGCCCTGGGGTTTGAAGTGACTTGAACTGCTGACTACCGTTGCAACAGCAGCTCCCAATCCCAGGCACAGGCTGCAGACAGTATCTTCCTCCTGCAGATGCCTGGACTGAGCCAAGGAGGCCAGGAGGCCCTTGGAGAGCATCGTGTGTGAGAGAGGACAGGATGAAGTCCTCCAGCGACTTCCCTGCACTGGCCCCCACCTTCCTTTCAGTGCATGGGCTCCGCGGGCGGGGGTCAGAGCATTCCCTAATTTATGTCAGGTGTACATACAGATCTATTTTTTCTAAGACAGTCCCTCCCGCTCCTTTCTCACTGAGCCCTGGTGACCAGACTGGCTGTACTATATTATAAGCTTTCGGCTGGGCCAGCGAGGGGTGAATGATGCTAGGACCCTCAGGGTGGGGCTCCTGGCTCCTTTCTCCTGTGGATGGAGGTAAAGACCTCCAATAAAGTGCCTTCTTGGCTTTTTCTAACCTTTGTCTTGCATTCTGTGTCCTGAAGTTGGATAGGTCATGAGATTGGGCAGAGAGGCAGGGGTGGGTTCCCACTGGAGGGAAGGTGAGGGCAGAGGCGGGTCCTATAGCAGGTGGGCTGGGCTCACAGACTGACTGGGGGCTGGTAGGAGAGTGAAGTAAACGGGAGGACTTCACAAACAGCTTGCAAGCAAGGACATAAGCTTAGGAAGCTGAGAACCGAGGCCTGGCCCTGCTGCCACCACGTATTGGCTCTCTGACCTTGGCCTTGTTGATTCTGGGGCTGGACCCAATGTTTTCTAAGAAGTCTAGGATTGCATGTCTGTCCTTGTGGATAGATAGATGCTTTTGCATTCCAGCCAAGCTGTGAGCTGAATGTCTGTGAGCTGAATGTGAATCCTAGTTTTCGTTGTCTGACGTGGAATCAGAGTTACAGTTTTATGGAGGGAGAAGTGGATGTGAGAAAGGAATGAGGGAAGGAACTTATCTTTGTTGACAGCCTTCTCTATGCCAAGTGCTAGCTGCCACTTGCTTCCTTTAATCTCCCAAGAAAGGAGAAAATTCATTATCCCTACGAAAGGGCTTCAGAAAGTTCGTAGGAATATTCCATGTTCTTTTAATTCCGTTTTCTCATGAACTTTCCGAAGCCCCCCTCATATTTTACAGACGCCAAAACTGAGGTTCAGTATAGGGCCAGCGACATGACCAAGGTCACTCCGGCAGTGCCTTGGACTGCTGCTCTGCAGCGCTGTCCTGGGCGCCTCTCCTGGGTGAGGGCTTTTCTGGTGTAATTAATCCTCACCAGATCCCAGAACTCTGCTAGGCTGTTTCCACAGCGATGAGTGTATCTAGGTTTAAGAAAGGACATTTGACTGATATGTGCTGTACAACTTATGAAGAACACCTAGAAGGTGGGAAATTCCTTAAATTTGGGCTTTCAAATGCCACAGAGTACATTAGAAATGTATTGGCAGGTGTGAAGCGTTGTTTAGAAACACCAAGATGATTTGCTGAGGGATGTGTGTAAAGAAGGGATTTTGAGAGGCCTATGTATAGATGTATGGAAATGGGGTTTGCACTGATGAGACGAGGAACAATGGATAAGAGAGTGGGGGGCATGAGCTGGAGATAGTATTGGGGTCATTAAAGAACCTATGGTCTTCTGGAGCCATTTTGGAAGAAGCTGGTGTCCTTTTCCTTTCCCTTCTGAAGTGTGAGTAAGTTTGCTCAAGAAGGTAGCTGGACAGGGCATAGACTTCAGCCTAAAGCAGACCTGGCTCCAATCCTGGCTAAGCCACCTATCCAGCTGGGGAATTTTCATTTCTTAAAAAATTACAATGTGCTATACATTGTGACCATCTGTCTAATGTATTATCTCAGAATCTTTACTCAATGGAAGTTACCCATGTTCTTTAGCCAGATGTGGGGGGTAAGTCTTTGGGTCCCAGGGCACACTGCACCTCCCTGAAGCCTCAATCTCTTCACCTCTAAAAAGGGGGTGGGGTGCTGTGCGTTAATGCACTGGACTGCAAGGTGGTTTGAACCACAGGGTTGGTGGTTCAAGCTTACCAGCCACTCTTTGGAAACCCTATACAGGGTTGCTATGAGTCGGAACAGACTTGACAGCACTTAACAACAAAAAGGGGCTAGAGTCCTTGTGTGGTACCCTAGAAAAAGCACTCGACCACGAGGTTGGCAGTTCAAACCTACCAGCTGCTCCTCGGAAACCTTATACAGGGCGGTTATGAGTTGGAACTGAAATGATGGCACTCGGCAACAACAACAACACACCATGCTTGGTAAAGTAGAGGGTGAGTGGAAAATACAGAAGACCTCCAAGAGGTGGACTAACAGTGCTGCAACCATGGGCTCACAATAACAACGATTGTGAGCATGACCGAGGGCTGGGCAGTCTTTCGTCCTGTTGTACGTGGATCGCTATGAGTCAGACGGACGTGTTGACACCTAACAATAGAGACACACAGAGGGCACCTGTAGGGGAAGAGGGCTGAGAATGAATCCTCTGCTAAAGGCCTGGGGAGGCAACTGCTCGGCACTCTACGAACTTTGTCCTGCTGTTTTCAGTTTATGGAGTGCCTTCCTCATCCCATTATCTCATTGGATCCTTACCACTACCCTCTGAGAAGACTGGGTGTACCCATTTCACTGATGAGGCTAGTTAGTGGCAGGTCCAAGGTCACTAGTCTAGTGAAAATGGGGACCAGACTGGGGATTCCCAACTGCAGGCCAGAGCTCAAGTAACACCTCCACAGTGTGTGCTGGGAGGGTGACCTGGCAGACCCTCTTAACACCAAAGGGTCTTGGTTCTTATTCAAAACGTTAATACCAACATTGCCCTCCACCCTCCCGGGCATTGTAAAGCCAATAGCACAACCTTCCAGCCTATATTAAGTCCAGAATTCCCAGGATGGCCTTTCTCACCACCACCAACCCCCACCCTCCACCCCCTATGCCCTCTTTGTCAACCGTCAGTCACCCTTATGCCTAACTCTCACCAGCTCAGGAGCTTCTGAGACTCCCACCCAGAGTTGGAAGGGGGTTGGGGAGAGGACTACCCTCTCATCCCAGGTTTGTGTCCCCCCTGGTGTAGTCTGGACTGAGGGCTGGTGGGGGAAGGGGGTGGGGAGGAGGAGGACTCAGGGCTGGGCTGGTAGATCCTGCCCTGAGCCGCTGGTTACCTCTTATCTGCTTCTGTGGGATTGGGTGTGTTGCTGCGCAGGTCAGAGGGAGGTCACTCCTCCAGGGTTTGGGTGTGCCTACTGAGGGCTGGGCTTGCGGCCCAGCCTCCGGTCTGCTGCTGCCATCCCTGGGACTGTTTCAGGATTCTCCCTCAGTCCCACCCATCCCACCCAATTCAGGAGAAATATTGCTTCACCTGTCCTCAGTAAAGAGGTAAAGTGGTTGTATTTTTATTAAGGGGCTGTTTCAATCTGTTCTTTGATTCCAGTTATCTGCTTTGATTCCAGTTATCTATCCCTTACAGTGTTGTGAGCACCTCTGGGCAAAGGCTTACTCATCTCAGCACCTTGCAGAGCGCCTGGCACAGAGAAGGCGCTCAATAAATATTTGTTAAGCTGCCCTGTGACTCTCCCTGCCCTGGCCACCACCTCCCCACACCGCACACGTTCACACTCATACACCACACCACACTCACACACACCAGACACTAATAAACCAACTCATACATATATACCATGCACACTAACACACATGGACACCACACGCTCAGATACCACACCTCACCACACTCACACTACTCCACACACACGGCAGCACACACAGCGAAACCCACTCACACACACTGACCCAGCCCCTTGCTGTGGCTCCCAGGGTCCCTCTGCCTCAGCCCTGTATTGATACTACTCACCTCCTCCTCTGGGGGTCAACTGCCTCCTCCTCCAAGCCTTTGCAGACCTCCCTTCTGCCCCTGTCCTCCACTCCGTCCTTCTCAAGTGAGCAAGAGCCTCATGGTGGTCATCCCTTAAGAGTTTTAACGGGAACCAGGACATGCTATATAATGTACCGGGCCCAGTGCAGAATGCTCAAAAATTATTTAAAATGTCGGTTGGCATCAGCAAGGCAGAGAATTAAACCAAACATGGGGCCCTTCAGAGTACACAGTCCTCTAAGTAGGCCTGAGACCCTACACCCACAAAACCATCCCCACACTTCTGGTGCTCCACTGGCCTCATTAGGGTTTCACCGAACTACCCACCATGCCTTCTATAGCAGATATGTTTGCAGTCATCATAAAAAAAATTTTTTTTAAATGGTTGCCAACTTTTGAAAGTACATAAAAATTTCCAGAAAACACTGTATTATGTGGCTTTTCTTAGAAATAGAACAAAAAATTAGCTCTGGCAGAGTTGAGGCAGCTTTCCCATGAACCATAGTCTGTAGAAACAGTCCTGATCAGGCCCTGTGAGGCTTGTGATCGGTACGACTGCCACCATGCAGTATCTGCTTGGCTCCAGCAGCGCTTGACTTTTCAGCCCCAAATGGAAAACTGCCCCTAGCTCTTGCTCTCAAAGTATGAGTTCATGTAGCCCTGCTGCCTGGCAAACTGATGATTTTGTTGAGGACATTGATAAGTTAATGGGTAATAAGGGGTCAAGGGGGAGGAGAGAGTAATAATATTGAGTATGGAGATTCAGCCAGCCCCCAACACTGACAGGGGCTACTAACTAAAACCTAAACCCATTAGCAAACTCAGGCTTCAGAGAGAATAAGCAACGTTTAAAATTTTCAGAGCTAAAAAGTGTAGGACATCAGGATTTTGAATACTGGTTCCTCAA